TATTTATTGTTATATCATTATTTATTTATTTTGCATGTAATAACAGTAAAAACTTAAAGTTTCTTTATTTTTCTACTTTTTAAATTGTTTTTCAGAGTGATTATTTTTTCTTCTTCCTCACTGAAGAACATGAATCAGCCCCTATTTAAGTTTGCTTTATGTTTGATTCTTAAATTTGGAGTGTAGTTTTTTTTTTTTTTTTTTATGGAGTGTAGTTTTATATAGTGCTCCCCATTGCTTTTTTTCTTGGTTATCAAAGAAATATTTGCCTTTTTTAACAATACCTATAAAAATCATATTTTTTGAGGTATAATTGACATACAATATATTATTTTCAGGTGTACCATATAGTGATTCAACATTTATATACATTGCAAAATGATCACCACAATAAGTGTAATTACCATCTGTTCACCTTACAAGGATAATACAGTGATCTCGACTATATTCTCCATGCTGTACATTATATCCCCATGACTTTATTTTATAACTAGAAGTTTGTACTTCTTGATCTAAAAAGCAGCATTCCACATAATCAAACGAAGTAGATAAATGAGTGCATAATAAACTCATACATAAATAAAAGATGTTTTGTGTAATTTGTATATACATATGTGTAGGGGGGTGCGTGCAAGTGTGTAAGCCAGCTGCCTAGATTCAATAGGGTTTCTCCCAGTTCTTGCTGGATTTTCCTATATAGAGATTTTGCCTGCTTTCTTTTGGCTGCTTTATGAAAAATGAAGGTTCTAAGTCTAGATGTCTCAAATTTTGGTATATTTAACTCAGTTTTGAAAAAATATATGGTACAACGATGCATCAGGAATTGAACATAATGTCCAAAACATTTTATCTGTCTGCTACCTAACCTGTAAAAATGTGAATAGGTCCATCAGAGTGTTAAGAATACATGCCAGGGAGGATAAATGGTTGAGAACCCTTAATAGTTACATGTGTTTAGGTAATAAATTAGTGCTGATGGATTAGTACATCTTACAGAGATACATTCTGCTTCAGTTAAAAGGATTTAGAGTGTTTCTTGACCCTAGAAACTTTAATCCTGTAGTTAATATTGATAGGAAAAATTATCTGAAGATAAAAAACCAATCTCTCTCTTGTTAAGTGCATGTTTAATTTAGATAGAAGTTAGACGCTAGGTATGTATTTTTGTTTCCTAAGAACATAGATCTATATGATACCCTGTAAAAAATATTAAAAGACAAAATTCATCTGGTTAGCAGTTTAAAATTTCCCAGGAGCAATATTAAACAATACAATGTTTTAATTAAAATAATAAATATGGGGCACCTGGGTGACTCAGTGGATGAGCATCTGCCTTTGGCTCAGGTCATGATCTCAGGGACCTGGGGTTGAGTGCTGCATCAGGCTCCCCATGGGGAGCCTGCTTCTCCCTCTGCCTATGTCTCTGCCTCTCTCTGTGTGTCTCTCATAAATAAATAAGTAAAATCTTAAAAAAAAAAATATCAAAAATAGAGTACAGATAATAAGACAAAGTTTCATATTTTTATCATTCAACTGAGATGTAAATCTCAAGACATGTTGTATTCAAAGTACGTTTAAGACCATATTTGATATATTTGCTGATATTTGCCTTCTCTATAACCTCTGGCATTTGAGTCCAGGTTAATCATACAATGTGCCAGTGATAGGGCAACAAAACTAAACTTGACTCCCTCCATCACCCTTACAAATCCCCCCACCAGAAACAAACTCTGTATCACCTGCCAGTTTATAACCCCCCACTTTCTATCTATGTGCTGCTGACAGTGAATTCCCTCACCAGCTAATTGAACAGATGCACCGGTACTTCCTGAAGATCCATAAAGCTGGGCTTTGATGGACGGCAGAAAGTGGCACAATGAAAAAACAAAAGCCTTTTAACTGAGAGCACTGCTTTGTTCTGCTTAGAACCTTAAGGTCACTCCAGCCCGTTCTGACTGTGGGGATCTTAATTTTTACTCAACCAATTTGCTTGCAGCTGTCATTCTTTCCAATATTAAAAGTTCAGCTCTCCAAGTGTGGGGAGTTGGGGGGAGTGGGGCGGGGAATAAGAAGAGCTTGTTACAAACTAAAAGCAGCAAAAACAAGTAAAATCTGGCTTGGCTCTCAAGTACAAAAAGTTATTTTCAAAGCCTATAAATTATGACATAGTGATTAACATGTAATTTAAATATATTTAAACAACAATTATATCACATTTCCAGCCCGGCTAATTGGCCTCACAGATGTTCCCTTGTAGCTGCATTGCCCTTCCAGGGAGAAATGAATGAGGTGCTTTTTATCATGGAAAAGAGAAAAAAAGCAAATGAAAAAAAAAAAATGGAAACAGGAAAATAAAAAGCAGCCAGTAACCCTAAAAACAGTGAATGCTAAAGGGACTTTGCTTAGCATTTTTTTCCATTTTAATGCAGAAAACTAGGAAAAGCACGAAGACACTCCTATTACTGTGATGGTATCTGGCAATATGTCCAGATATAGATTTGGCAGGTTGCTGATGGGGAGACTTGCCAGCACAGGGACAGTGCCTGCATTCTAATATGGCATGGCCTCTCTTCAAGAGGTCTAGTTATTATTTTTTTAAGATTTTATTTATTTATTTGACACAGAAAGAGAGAGAGAGAGAGAGAGCAGGAGCAGTGGGGAGGGGCAGAGGGAGAGACCTGAGCCAATGGCAGACCAACTGAGCCACCCAGGTGCCCCAAGAGGTCTAGTTATTTTTTAGCACAATGTGTTGGTGATTGAAGGCAGTCGAGCCCAGATAATGAATATATAGAATAAAATATTTCCTGTTGAAGAATGATTTGCAAGTTATTCCTTTGATTACTTATTCCTCAAGTTTTATAAAATACAAAATGTAGAGCCGTCAGTGCTATTTCCTAAGCTGGGATTCTAGTCAATCATGACTCAGTAGAGCAACTGTTGGGAAATAAGCGGTCAAAGGAACAGGAATATCTTTCTTCTAATATGTAATCATAGAATTCAAATAAATTCACCCCATCTTCCTTTTACTCTTGCTTTTTCTTCTAATAATCTCAGGTAATATTTGATAGTTCAGTGTAAATTGCAAAAGGCCAGTGGTCATGTCTCTCCTCGTGTCTCATAGTATCTCCAGTGTCTACCGCAGATCCTGCACTTTCGTTGTAGGGGTTTAATAAATATTTGTTAAATGCTTGCTCAGTAATCGGGGTTTAATGATGGGGGAAGGCCAAGGTTTATAATATGATAAAGTTCCACCAGACACTTGTCATATTCCCATACCATCCCTCTGTTTTACATATCACTGGACTATATAGCAAATCCCTCCCAAATTTTATGAAAGAAAAAAGTATTTAATTGCATATCTTTCTAAAAGATAACAAAATATGCCTATACTGAAGGTGATATGGGGAACAGGGAAGCATTTTTAAATGCCTCTTTGAAGAGCAGCTTTGATATTTTGATTGCCCGACTTTAAAAATCTGATTTAGCAGATGTGAATATTTAAATTTTATATATCCTTTACATTGTGATAGTAGTGAAGAGCTTGCAAAATTCATTTATATAAACCGTCTTACTTTGTCTTCGCTGAGATATAAGGAGTGAGAGGTCAAGGATAAAAATGAGGGTCTGAGATGTCTCACAATTGACCACATCAGTAGATTTGGTGACTAGAATCAGAGCTCAGATATCTAACAGATTGTAAAACAATACGTCTCTTGGACAATGCTACCACATATGCATAGCATATCAAATTTATCTCTAATTTTCCATGTCATGGTCTTCAAGATATTCTCAGTTACATTACCATCATGTAAGTGATTCAGTTTTGAGGAGAGTTAAAATGTAAACTTAATGTAGGAGTTCAGACCTTGGTCCTTGATCAGTCCAGGTGACTAAGTTAATTATGGAAAATTGTGTTATCCAGTTGTTATTAGTTTACATTAAACAATCTCCATGGAACCGTATTCTTCTTAGAGTTTGTTTCATGAATCTCTAAAGTGTAAATCATTATCCTGGAATAATACTTAGTCAAGTTTCATACATGGATGCAGAGAATGAAGATTTCATAAAATTAACTATTATTTCTGCATTATTCATTACCTCCATGGTTTAGAAAAGTGCCTGGCACATAGATAGTAGGTTCTCAAGAAATATATTTAATTAATATTTATTTGTTTTTAGAAATCATGTTGATATTCATACAACCCCCTCTACTTACCCTAAGGAAATTTGTCCTTACTATTTTATATTTTTATATCCACTTTTATTTAGCTCATAGAATGAAGTATAAAACTATAGGACTATAGATGCCTTTTTAAAAAAAATTCATATCTAATTTTAACTGTTTCTACATATAAGAAATTAATGTATACAAAGCATATTTCCAGGAAGAGGATTAATTTTCCATGATTTCCTTCTGTTTCTTAACGTATAAAAATAAGAGTGTAGAGAAAATTGTATGTATTTTTTTAAAGGAAAGTTGACCCTTTGCTGAAATAATGAAAAATAAATGTAACTTGTCAGTAAAACTTATTCAAGGAAAATTGAAATTCACTTCTATCTCCTTTTAGATAAGTTTCTTTTTACAAGAAAGAACTAATGTTGTGGTATGTGGCCATTTCACTCATATAACATGTGAGGAAGGAAATGGTTCTTTATTTAAAACTATAGTCATTTACTTACCGTTTATATCTTTCTTCTAGGATTAATCGGAAAAACATTCATTGTCAACTTAATTTTTACTCCATTTAAAAATTTTACTTTTTCTATCTAATTTTTCTTTTCAGGGCTTGAATTAAAATATAGAATATTCTCAAAACACAAAAATAAACTCATTTGTAGTCAGGGTGCATAAAATTTTACCATTTAGCAAACTTCACTGTTGTGCATGTTTTCCCCTTTGGTTCATACAACTCATGTGGCTTTTCTTTTCTTTTTTTATTTTTCTTTTCATTCATATTACCTCTTATTATATCCATCATTCCATTTTTCTTTCCTATTAGAGTGAAATTGGACACAGCCCTCCTCCTGCCTACACCCCCATGTCAGGAGTAAGTATTTCATGATCAACCTTCATCTTTTAGTATTTTTGGTCTTTACTTGTCATGTTTCTTCTCTCTCGTCTCCCCATAGTTTTCTCATTTTGCTTTTGCCAACAGTGAGTTAATAATTTGCTGTAGATTCAATAGCTGGCTTTGTGGATATGTTTTCTCTCAGTAGGTAATCCAAAACTGAGATGCCATGCATCAACAGTAAGCTTCAATTTTTACCTGAAGGATTTATCTGAACTCATAAATTATGCTTTTGGATGAGGAGGTTATCATTATTTCCATGATTATAGGTTGTGTGCTAAAAAGTTGGAGTCTCAATAATGATTCCCTACTTAGGTACTTGGAGACTTAAAGTCATACTGACCACAAAAGAGAAAATATCACCATCCAAATGGCATCACTGTGCTTCTGTTCTTAATGTCAACTGTCTACAGTTAATAACATTTCCATTTGTCATGAAATTTGAATTTTATATCAAAAATAGGCGACTGTGGGAAAATAGCACGAAATACTAAGTATTAGGTCATGTTTTAGGTGGCCAATAAGATTTAAATATATTTCCAAATTCTTTCCCCAGGATAACTTTTTAAGAAATATTGTAATTTTAGGTGATTGTAAGTCAAACTTGTTAGCCATTTAGGGGAAAAACTCAATTAGGAAGCTCTGACTTTTGTCTGAAAGACAAGTTTTCATATCCTTGGTTATTTTTTATACCTATTTCTAAAATAACTCCTGGCTAAATGTGTCTCTACTGTTGACAGAACCAGTTTGTATACCGAGATGGGGGTTTTGCTGCAGAACAAGGAGTGCCTGTGCCCTACAGAGCCACAACCAGCACGATCCCAGAAGCTCCAGTTGCTCAGGGGGCTACAGCTGAGATTTTTGATGACTCCTGTTGTAATGGCACCCTACGCAAGCCAGTGGCACCCCATGTCCAAGAGGATAGCAGCACCCAGAGGTACAGCGCTGATCCCACTGTGTTTGCCCCGGAACGAAGCCCACGAGGAGAGCTGGATGAAGAAGGTTACATGACCCCTATGCGAGATAAACCTAAACAAGGTACAAATACAACGTTCAGAAATGATTTGCATTCAACATTCACATCCATCAAAATGAGCAATATAATATAGAAGGGAAATTGCCAAACCACTGGACTATGTAACATTTGTGACCCAGAAAAGGCCTAGACTGCTGCTCTATGTAGGATACTGTCCAAATCCACAACATTTACATCATCCAGGGCCTTTCTAGAAATCAGAATCTCGAGCACCACTTGAATAGTCATCTGCATTTTAACAAAATCCCTATGTGACTTTTATGCACAATCAAACCTGAGAAGCACTGATCTCAACTTATCTTTGTTGGGCTATTTGAGTGAGGAAGCACATCACAAAATTTCAGCACCATGGCTTTATTTTTTTTTTTAATTTTTATTTATTTATGATAGTCACACAGAGAGAGAGAGAGAGAGGCAGAGACACAGGCAGAGGGAGAAGCAGGCTCCATGCACCAGGAGCCTGATGTGGGATTCGATCCCGGGTCTCCAGGATCGCGCCCTGGGCCAAAGGCAGGCGCCAAACCGCTGCGCCACCCAGGGATCCCAGCACCATGGCTTTATTGGACTTATTGTGGAGATCATAAAAACTGGTATTATGATGGCACCAATAAAAAATTTGGTCAGTTCTTTAAAATTTTCCATCATTAGAATGATCATTTATTACAGAAGATTATGATTCCTTGTATGACACATTTTAAAAATTAAAACTCTGACACAGCATTTACTAATATGTATACCACCGTGTCTTGAAAATACTCAATTTGTAGTTCTACAAAGCTCAGTGATGACTTTACAAAGTTAGTGGTAGAAATGTTAGACATCTAAATCCAATGACACTTAAATTTTGAAAAAGCTGCTTTCTTTCCATGTTAACGGCATCATAGAAAGGAGAAAGGAGAAGGATGATTGTTATTAAAAACTGATGATTGTATCTCAGGGTGTTAAGTATCAAGTAAACTTTTTTTTTAAGACTCTGTAGAAGAGCCCGTTATGTTCCTTAATATATGGTTATATTCCATTTTATAGAATTTGATTAAGGGATCCCTAAGTACATATTGTAAATATCCTATTAAAATATATCTATCTTGATGTATATAAAGGTATTACTGCACTGAAGAATTAGAGGAATTGAAAGAATTGGAAGGTAGCCAAGTAGTTACACAAATGTAGGTTTTGAGAAGATTTGGCAGATTCCTGAAAGTGGAATGCTCTCTGGGAAGATCCTTAGCTCAACCATAGAGTTGTTTCTCTGTTTACAACTGCATGACTGCACGTCTGCATCAGGAAATAGATAAGTAGATTGCATTGAGAAAAGGTACCATGAACCTTCTAAGAGAAAAAATACAAGCCAGCCTGTATAGACTCACTGTGGAGCATCCCTTGATTTTGTCTCTGAATACAAGTTTCTATAGAAGATTATTGTACTCCAGCCTACTTCTCAGAGAGTAGAGAATGTTAGTATAGACCTTCATTACACTTTCAATTAATGAGTTTCAGGAACCTGGTAAGGAAAATCAGATTCTGTCTCCCTTAAAAGTTTGTTTTCATATATTTTTCTTAAAATGTCAATTGCTTTAAACACCATTCAAATTCCAACATGTTATGAAGTGAAAAGTTTTTCCTACCCCTTTAGGGACAATAATTAAAACAGTACAGTAGGGAATCCCTGGGTGGCGCAGCGGTTTGGCACCTGCCTTTGGCCCAGGGCGCGATTCTGGAGACCTGGGATTGAATCCCACGTCGGGCTTCCGGTGCATGGAGCCTGCTTCTCCCTCTGCCTGTGTCTCTGCCTCTCTCTCTCTCTCTCTCTCTCTCTCTCTCTCTATGTGTGTGTGTGTGACTATCATTAAAAAAAAAAAGTACAGTAGAACAAGGAAATGGCTCAACAGGAGTTTTAGAACTGAATTCTAGTTCAATACTGCTTGTATCCTTCATATATCATTTAATCTTGGTTCTCTATTTATAAAACTTAAAAAAAAATACAGCTTATACTTCCTTTCTCACAGGATTGTTGTGAGGAAGATGTAAGTTCCTGTCACGCCTATGTATGATGGTGGGATAGTCATTACTGTCCTTGAACTTGCACATGATGCTAAATACTTAAGTATATCAAAGAGGTCTATGTCCATGGGCTAATCACCCTAAGTTGATGCGATTTTTTTCCCTACTTGTCAAGCTATATGTATAGAGGATAGAACGTTTGTTTCAGAACAGTGGCATCTCAACAAACAATTATGCCCTTTCCCTGCCCCAACACCAAAACAGGAATAGCTGAAGTGTCATTTCTGTGTAGACTTTAAAAGAGAGGACAAAAGGTCTACTCTCTGCATGAATAGATGTCTATATATCGTCTATACTATAAACATAGAGATAGAATTATATTTGAGAAGAACAGCATTGATAACACCTTTTTAAAAATTGGGTCAATATTCTGTATTATCAGATCAGATCATGCAAAATAGCCATTATAATGACTGGTGCCAATCTACAAAACAGTTATTTCATATAATTCAAACTAATAATTTGTTATTTTGTGATTATGGTTAGCCATTGGAAGTAAATGCTCTAGGGATCCCTGGGTGGCACAGCGGTTTGGCGCCTGCCTTTGGCCCAGGGCGCGATCCTGGAGACCCGGGATCGAATCCCACGTCAGGCTCCCGGTGCATGGAGCCTGCTTCTCCCTCTGCCTATGTCTCTGCCTCTCTCTCTCTCTCCCTGTGTGACTATCATAAATAAATAAAAATTTAAAAAAAAAAAGGAAGTAAATGCTCTAATTACACTTTATTCTTAGGCATATGTATTGTCGAGCAAGTCAATCTAGTGACATGCTAGATGTCTGTCAGATTTTATTAGTTGAGTCTTTTCTTTAGATGTTCCCTTTCCTATGTGTAGTGCTTTCTGAAAAACATCTGTAATCAAATCCACTTTACCTATATGGACATCACAGCAAAACACACAGACTGAAAAACACTATTCCTTCACTTTATCCATTTACCTTGGCATGGAGCTAAGCCATAGACATTTTGATTTTCCAATACCCTTTAAAAAAATTCCAATTTCTCCGCATTTAAAAGCTACCCCTGATAGATTGCCTTATTTTTCAACAAAAATAAAATACTGACTTTTAGAAAACAGAAGCATTCAAACAAGTGGCCTTCTATGTAGGAGACACAAATGCAATTAGAAGGAAAAAGGAACAATGTAGGGGACAGGAACTAGGGCTTCTGGCCTGTGGTGCTTTGCTAAGACATTAAAGAGTTTTGGTCCACCTACTCTTTTTTCATATGACAAAATAGACAAAATAGTTTTTGTAAAAATTCATGAAAACAAATCCATGGCTTTATGATTCTGGAGAAAGAAGCTAACCATCCTGCATTACCTTCTTCTGATTAACATTTTCCAGAAAGTAGATACTAACTGATATTTTTGCATTCCTCAGAATACTTGAACCCTGTGGAGGAGAACCCTTTTGTTTCTCGGAGGAAGAATGGAGACCTTCAAGCTTTGGATAATCCCGAATATCACAATGCTTCCAATGGTCCACCCAAGGCAGAGGATGAGTATGTGAATGAGCCACTGTACCTCAACACCTTTGCCAACGCATTGGGGAATGCCGAATACCTGAAGAACAATGTACTGTCTGTGCCAGAGAAGGCCAAGAAAGCATTCGACAACCCTGACTACTGGAACCACAGCCTGCCACCTCGGAGCACCCTTCAGCACCCAGACTACCTGCAGGAGTACAGCACAAAATATTTTTATAAACAAAATGGACGGATCCGGCCTATTGTGGCAGAGAATCCTGAATACCTCTCTGAGTTCTCGCTGAAGCCAGGCACTGTGCTGCCTCCTCCACCCTACAGACACCGAAATACTGTGGTGTAAGCTCAGCAGTGGCTTTAAGATACAGACACACCCGCTCCAATTTCCCTGCCGCCTCTCTTTCTCTTATGGTCTTCCTTCTATTCCCAAGGCCAGTAGATTTGACACTTCCCAATGGAAGATATAGAGATGCAATGATAGTCATGTGCTTATCTAACTTGAACACTAGAAGGAAGAACTGAAAGAGAAAGACAGGAGGAACCACACTGTTTCTTCATTTCTCTGCATGGGTTGGTCAGGAGACTGGAACAGCTAGAGAAGGACCAGCAAATAAAAGGCAATACTGCCTGCTGTCAAGCTAGTTCTCAACGTTTTCTCTTTCTTCTTTCTATTTCTTTTTTTTTTTTTCTAAATGCAGATGCCTGAAAGACCCATGCTATCTGTTCCTATCTGTAGGAACTGATGTGTGCATTTACACTATCCTTGGAAATCGTAATGAAGTTTCCATTAGAACAAAAGGATAACCTTTTCTATAACAAATGAGAGTAACTGAAATTGAAAATCCAATTTCCTTTTCCAACAGTTTCTATCCTAACAAGCAAGAATGGCCAACTCAGCTTTCATAATTTTTTAATCTCTCTAAAAGTTATAACTAGTAATTATGTTTGGAGGGATTTTCTTGGTCTTTTTGTTTTGTTTTGTTCTGACAGCTTTGGTCTGTCTCTTTATATTACTTTTACCTCCCTATATTTTGACTTTAATTTCTAATTGCAAAAATTTTTACATCAAAGTTTCTTATGTGTTGCTATAAATTGACAGAATTGTAAAAAAATATTTTATTATGGTGAAATGACCATTATTTTAAATATATAGCCTTTAAAATAGAAGGGGAGGCCAAGATATTAGTTAAGTGTAACATCAAATCTAACTCTCATGTTTTACACTATGGAATATGTACCCCCACATCCTTTACATTCTTCAACATTTTCTTCTCCATGAATGACAGTACTTGATAGGCAGTTGGTAGTGTAAAGAGTAAATGGGAAACTAAGAGACAGTTCTATGTGGTTCATGAAAACTACTGACACTTTCAGGGGTGGTCCAATGGGGAATCCATTGAACTGGAAGAGACACTGGATTGGGTATGTCTACCTGGCAGATACTCAGAAATGTAGTTTGCACTTAAGCTATAATTTTATTTGTTCTCTTTCTGAACTCCATTTTGGATTTTGAATGAAGCAATATGGAAGCAACCAGCAAAATAATTTAAGTACATTTTTTTAAAGAGCTAAGATAAGGAAAGACTGTGGAAATGCCAAACCAAGCAAATTAGGACTTTGGAACAGTATCCAAGAGATTATGGTGAGAGGGCCAGCACATTATCAACAAGTGATATCACATTTGCTACGCAAGAAAAGTTATCCAGTTTGTATACTCCATGTGAAGGAATGCAAGTAAGGATTGGCTTGACTCCATGGAATTTCTAGTATGAGACTCTATTTATATTAAGTTGAAGGTAACTCTTTGCACATAAATTGGTATAATAAAAAAATACACAAACGTTCACAATTTATAGATAGGTTCTTGGGTCAAAAGTTGTAAATAAACATGAAAAATTTCTCATGTAATTATTTTAATATCCAACATACTAATCTTTTGATACTTTGTATAATAGTACTTTCTTCAAACACATCATCCTAGTTCTAGAGCCATCTTTTTATGTATCATTTTAAAAGAATACCTACTAAGTTAAGATGAGCAATGGGAACAAAATGGTAGGAATGAGTCTCCAGGAACAAGAGGCCTAAGGTCAATAATTAGGAAAATCTGGTAGTCTCTCTTTTCTAGGAAAATCTGCTTGGAGAGTCATTTGGATTTAAAAAAAAATTTTTCATCTGTTAAAATGTTGGCATCAAATTCAAGTCTATCATATAAAAGAAACCAATAAGACTAAAAATCTCCATTGGTAAAGCAGAGGGTTTACAGAGAGAAAAAAAATGCAAAGAAATCTAGGTTTCTGCCTATTTTGAAAAAAATAAGTGAATCCATCTATTCAACTCCCTTATTTTTTCAACTGGTATTTATTTAGAGTCTACTAAAAGCACTGTGTATGTGGGGAACATCAACATAAATGCAATATTATCCCTAACTTAATGTTTTTAAGTCAGTTTATTTGGAATGACTTTGAATTTCCCCATAAGTTCAAGGAATAAGATTTTATGGACTATTTTGTGAGCAGTCATCATAAAATCAATTGTTTGTTAAAAGATCTCCTGTGAACTCATTTGGAACATGAATTAAACAACCTGCAAGTTACTGAAGTTGACAAATAGGATAGTTTCAATGTTATCATCCAAACAGGAACTGGTAGAAGGTTATTGCCTCACTGACTAATTGGCCTATCTGGATTCTAATTTGACCATTAGGTCAACAGTGGGTGTTGGTCTTTGGCCAAGAAATTCGGAGGTGTCAGGACTGGTTTCTCACTAAGTTATGAGAAATAAGGTAAGCTAAAAGAGTGAAGAAGAGCAAGGGAGCAGTTTGTCAGATCCCTGATAGTGAGGTTCAACTCTGAACTTTTCTGGGTTGAAGACATAGAATGACTTAGGGCCTACAGCCCAAGAGCTTTCAACTCTCCCACCCATTCAGAGGAGTCTCCAGAGAAAGAGACCTCACATCAGTTCTTATGAAAATTTGGATATAAACCTCCCTTTCTAGATAAATCTGTACCAACTTACCATGGACAACACCCTTGTTGGACTTGATTTTTTTTCCTTCTGATTTCCAATATTCATATGGTCTCTACGTGGATATGGAAAAAATAATCACTTAAGAAGGATTTTTTTTTTTTTTTTTTTTTTTTTACTGTTAAGGTAATAGAATGTATTCAGTGAATGTAGTTTCCTTTATTTTAAGAATACAAACCCCTTACACATCAGGTAATCTACCACTAGTAACTAGAAATAGATGCAAGTATAATTCAAAATGACCCAAAATGCTTCACAAAAATACTTTATTATTCCTTTTGAATGATTTATGTAGTACATATTTGATTTCAGTTGTTTTGGGATTTCTTTCTTATGTCTGTCCCCCTGGAAAAATATATTTCAAAGTTTATGAAAGGAAGAAAAAAATACAGTTTTATCTGTTCCAAAAAAATAACCTATTCAATCCAATAGAGTGAAATTTTAAAATGCCAATTGAAGGCTGCCACGTGCATCCGAATATCAAATCCCAGAGCCTAATTGTATCAATGCAAATATGCAGAACCAATTAAGTCAATTTGAGAAAAATTGGTACTAAATTTACACAGACTGTATTTTTTTTTATTAAATCACCAGATTTTGTAGTTTATACCTATCTTGGGAAATCCAACCTACAGATAAGGAAAAACTGTATAGCTAAATGGTTGTTTAAAGAACCATTCTTTAGTTCTTAGATGAGAAAAAGATGTTCTCTAAACCAGAGTAGACCCAGAAACACAAGGCATCCTGCACCATAAAGAGAGGTGCTTGGACTACTGAGTAACACTTGGTCTTCCAAATTATAGCAGCACAGGTTAGGGTGAGAGTTCTTTCTCAAGTAATATTCTTGAAATAGAATATAAAACAATGCAAACTCAGATTTTATTAAAATATACAATCTTAGTAGATCATGAAGAACAACCTTAGTAGATCATGAAGAACAACCGATTGTTTGTATACAGATAGAGATAGCACTCTAAGTGTTATAATGTATGTGTTAATACCTTCTAAAAGTAGGATGTGACAAAAAGATCGTGCATAGTCCTGATGCCGAGGTCAAATCAGTAGAAGGTCTGTGAGGTTCTGCTGCTAGATGAAGTCTGGGGGCTATCAATATGCTTTTTGAAGTGTCAACATGAAAAGAAAAGTAAAATTGTTTCAGCCCGACAGGGAAGGATGTAAATACATGTTTTCTAGAGCTATCTAACCCTTGTTTCAAAACTTGAATTATTCATCCATCTATAAATGTTGATTATTTAACTAGTATGTAGTTCATAAGGTAATAGAAAAGGTGATCATGAGAGCATGTATATAACTGGGCAAAACCATGATAATGCTGTAAGATGTAGATTTAGTTAGGTTATCAGATATTAAATGATTTTAATATTATTAAATCAAACTAGAAAATTAACCACAAAATATTATGTAACAAGATAAAATGCAGGATAATGAAAATGTAGGATGGATTTTGCATAGTAAAAAATAAGTTTGCCATTTAAAATTGTTATTTGTTAGATTTAGCTGAAAGTAGACATATAAAGAGCTGGTTCCACTTGTGAAAACTTGCTTTAAAGCATTGCAATTAAATTTTGTTCTCATTCTCTTGTTCTTTTAATTGTATTAAGTGTAAAGAGAAAAAAAATTAATTTGTATTGCAAACACCACGTTGCAGAATTTAACAGGCAAATAGGTTACATGACGTTAAGCAAGAGGTCTTGTCTTCAAAACGAAGTAAAGGAAATGTAAATGTTCTATTACCTTATGCAGAGACAAAGATTGAGTGGTGCCATTTAGTGAACAAACAAAATACATTTAACTTATGAAATGTCCCTTTTTTTCTCATGATACCTTCCCATTTCCAGAAACAAAAAGAAGCAATTAGTTAACAATATTCTGATAAATAGTGCTAAACCAAGAATTTCAAACTGTTGTTATTTCCATTGTTTTGAACTGTAGTTAATAGACCAGTGATTTTTAATATTGCAAATGAGAAGTCCAGCTGTATAAACTTCTGGTCATTAGAAAGCCAGATAAACTAACTTCTACCGTATATGCCAAGGGCAAGAAAATTCTGCTGTGCCTCTCATTGTGTATATGGACTTTGAAAGGCAGCCTTGTACCCATGTAGACACGTGAAGGCAAACTCCTGTCTCCTGATTGCCATTTGCTAAAGAACAAATGACATTATACAGATGTAAATTAGGCGTGATTTTAAAATAACATTTATCAGTGGAGACCTTGATTTTACTAATATTACAACTGGGACCAGCTTTTATACTTCTGGGTAGAATGAATACAATTTTTTCTAATCCCAGAGATGCCTTTGCAAGAGTAGTTCTCTCCATACTTACAAGCATGAAGCTGTTGTGGGCACCATGTTGGGTCAGGAACACTTGCATTTGTATGGACAAATGGCTTTTAACACCATGGGCGGTTTCATTCTTTTCATTAAAAGGCAAGTTTCTATAAAATAGTAAAAACTTCAGGCACTGTTCAAGTCCCACTGCTTTTGTAGAGGTACAAAAATGTAGGATGTGGTCACTTTTGCAGACTCCTGCCTCACCTCCTTCCAGCCAGGTGATATTTTGGGCAGAAGAAAATGTTTCTCTTTCAGTTATGAGCTGAAAACACTCTAAGCCCCAACTTCTTGGGGTAGTTTTATGCTTCCCTTGGAAATTACTGTCTAATGACCAGCTTTGCAAGTAAGTGATTATCTTGTTAGGAGTCACAGAAAAATTAATTTCTCTAGACCTTAGAGAAAAGTACCACCCTTCCTCCTTTCCCCATTGGCACAACCACCTCTGTTCTCTTCACTTTACAACCTTCTTCAAAGTGGCCCTGTTGAGGCTGTCCCTCTCTGAAGCCATAGAGGATCTCTGAGGTCCCACACATTGCTTTGTGAAACACTGACTTAGCCTCTGCCCTCAAATGCCTGACTTTTCTATAAACGATTCTAGCAAAGTGGACGCTGTTTAAAATACTTCTCAAATAAATTACTGCACAGAGTATACTTTCTGTTATTAAAATTACTTTTCTCCATA